CCTCCCTCCCCGCCCCAGGAGCTGTCCCCTCCCCCCTGCAGCAGAAAAATCGCCACCAAGGAAGAATTCAAGTTTTAAAACAGGAGCCTAAACTGGGGGGGGGGAAGAAAGGGGGAGCGACCCCCCCCCATGCTGGAGATGAAGCTATCGCTTGGGGGAGAGAAACTGGCATGGGTCTGCCCCCCCACAAAGGGTGGGGGAGGTGGGAGACCCAGGCCAATGGGTGGGGTGGGGGGATTAAAGCAAGTTAAGATGGCGTCTGAAATCCCTGCCCCCCAAGTCACTGCAAAGGGGGCAGGGGGGCTCAGGAGGAAGGAGCCCTCTGCCCTGCCTGGGGGGGGTCCACGGGGACAGAGCTCCTCATTGGCTAGAGCCGCTCATGTGACCACGGGGGGGGAGTGTCCCTTCAGCCCTCCCCCGGCCCGGAAGGGGGACAAACAAGCAACGAAAACAAACTGGTGCCGCCCCCCCCGGCCACGCCCGCCTCCCCCCCCCCCCAACCCGGCAGGGTCCAGCCGATTCCAGTGTCAAAAATAGAAGCTCTGGGGGGGCGGGAGGGGACACTAGGGGCCGGCGCTGCCCGAGGGCCAGGGGTTGAGGCGGCACTGCGGGCAGCAGCCCGAGTAGACCAGCACGTCGCAGGCCTGGGAGCGCTGCCCGGCGTGCCAGCCGGCCGGCCAGCCGGGGCAGAGCCGATAGGCCTCCAGGTCGCAGATCAGCTCCACCACCTCGTCCACGGTGGTGAGGCGGGCGGGGTGGCTGGCGTAGACCTCGTGCTCGGGGGGCACGGGCAGCTGGCGCGCCACCACCTGGAAGAAGAGGCCCGGGCGGATGTGGATGACGGTGGCGGCCATGGTGGAGCGGGCCGAGCGCTGGACCAGCCGCAGGTCGGGGCCCCCCAGGGGCGGCTGCACCTCCCAGTGGGCCGGCAACGGGATCTCCTGCAGCTCAGCCAGGAACTCCCGCAGCACCGGGTCCAGGGGCGCCCGCCCCGCCAGCGCCCCCAGGCTGTAGATCTCCATGATCTGCGGGCATGGGGGGGGACGGGGGGGTTAGGGGGGGCTGGCCGGTGCCACCCTGGTCGTCCCCAGCGCCGAACTGCCCCTGCCCCCCCAGCACCAGGCCCCCAGCACTGCCCCCATACACCCCCTCAACACCGCCCCCTAGCGCCAGACGCCCCCAGAACTGCCCCCAACATGGCCCCTGCCCCCCCGGCACTGCCCCATACACCCCCCAGCACCAGACCCTCAGCCCACCAGAACTGCCCCCTCCCCCCATACTGCCCCTGCCCCATCCCTGCCCTCATACACCCCTCAACCCTGCCCCTAGCACCAGATGCCCCCAGCACTGCCCCCTTCCCCCCCATACTGCCCCTGTCCCCCCAGCACCAGCCTCCCAGAACTACCCCCATGCACCCCCGTTACACCCATCCTCCCAACACAGGCCCCTGCCCCCCAGAGCACCAGCCCCCTGCTCTCTCATGGCCCTCACGGAACAGCCTTCCCCCAGCACCCTGCCCCCCCCCATCGCGTGCCTGCGCCGAGCCCCCCCACTCACCACCGGGGTGCGCTCCTCCTCCTCCTCGTCCTTGTCAGCTGGGTCCAGAACCACCACTTCCCTGGCCAGCCCCCGGCCCTCCATCCGCAGGGGCACCCCGGCCGGCACCTGCAAGGGAGAGGGGTGAGCGCTGGGGGCGCCCCGAAGCCTGCCTGGGGCAGCTCCCGGGGAACCTGGGCTGGGAGCCCGGACTCCTGGCTTCTCTCCCTGGCCCTGGGAGGGGAGTGGGGTCTAGAGGTTAGAGCGGGGGGGGGGGGCTAGGAGCCCGGACTCCTGGGTTCTCTCCCCAACGCTGGGAGGGCAGAGGGCTCTCGGGAGCTGGGGGGGTTCTTACCGGTGCAAGGTCCCATCCAGGCTCCACCTTCTCCTGCTTCACCAGGGGTGGGGCGGAGCGGAGCAGGGTGGGGGCCGGCTCCTGCAGGGGGGAGAGAGACCGGGGACAGGACTGAGCCCGCAGAGCCAAGGCAGCCAGTAGGGGGCGCTGCGGGGATGCAGGCGCAGGGGCCGGCCCTCACCCCAGCACGGGGCACGGAGCCAGGACCCCTGGGTCACCCCAAGGGAGAGGACTGGTCCCAAGCCGGGCACCACTGGAGGGGGACACCCAGGGGGAATGGGGGACGCCCCGGCTGCCCCCTCTCACCTCCAGGTGGGCAGGGGGCGGGGGTGTGGCTGGTTCCTCCTTCACGTGCTGCAGCAGGAGGGGGAAGCTCTGGGGGGCGTCGCGGAGCAGGACGAAGTCCCTGCCCGGCCGATCCTTCAGCAGCACCAGCTGCCCGGGCGCCTCGGCAACCCCCTTCTCCGCCAGGAACCGCAGCTCCCCGCCCGGCGGGCACTCCTTCTCCTGTGGGGCAGAGCACAGCGTCAGGGGGCAGCACAGAGCCCCCCAAAGACAGCCAGCCCCCGACGCCACCGCCGAGCAGGGAGAACCCAGGAGTCCTGGCTCCCAGCCTCCTCCCGCTCTCACCACTTGACCCCACTCCCCTCCCAGAGCCAGGGAGAGAACCCAGGAGTCCTGGTTCCCAGCCCCCCCTGCTCTAACCACTAGACCCCACTCTCCTTCCAGAGCCTGGGAGAGAACCCAGGAGTCCTGGTTCCCAGCCCCCCAGCTCTAACCACTAGCCCCCCACTCCCCTTCCAGAGTGAGCCGAATCCAGGCAACCTATGGGGAGAAGCGAAATTAACTCTCATTCCCCGGCCCAGCAGTGCAGCCGACGTCCCAGATCGTCCCCCCCACGCACACGCTGTCACCACCCCAAGTCACTGATGGGGACAAGCACACAGAGGGGGAAGGTCTTGACCAAAGAGTCACAGGGCAAGCCAGGGAGAGAACCCAGGAGTCCTGTCTCCCAGCCCCCCCGCTCTAACCACCAGCCCCCACTCCCCTCCCAGAGCCGGGAGAGAACCCAGGCGTCCTGGGCTCCCCTCCCCCCAGGCTGAGCGGTAACCGGGCCGGAAGGACGAGCGGGAAAGGCGGAGCGGAGGAAGAAAGAGAGAAGCGCGAGTGTCTTTGCCCCGGGCCGAGCGCCTGGGCCTGGGGGGGCGGGCAGGGCAGGGCAGGGCAGGGGGGCGGGCCGCCAGGGGGGCGGGGCAGGGGGAGGTAGTTACCTGCGGCGGGGCACTGCCCCGAGCCCAGCGCTGCTGGCCGCTCCCCTTGACCCGCCGCCCCACCTGCTTGATCCGGGCCGGCTGGCGGCTGCGGCCGATCCTGCGCCTCCAGGCCTTCCGGGGGGCCAGCGCCCCCGCCCCCTCCTCCGCCTGCCCGCGGCTCCACACCGCCGGCAGCAGCCGCTTCTGGGGAAGGGAAAGAGAGGGAGAGACAGAGCCAGAGCCGGGCAGGCGGCGAGCGGGAGAGAGAGAGGGAGAGAGAGAGAGAGAGAAAGAGAGAGAGAGAGAGCGAGAGACAGGGAGAGCGAGAGTCGGCCCGGTCCTGCCCATCCCCACGGCCTCTGGGCGCCTGCACTCCAGCCCCTCCCCAGCCAGCGACAAGGGCCCCACAGCCCGGCCTGCACACGCACACGGCCCCCCCCCGGATGGGAGTCACTGAGTTCGGGGGGCCCTTCCGCCTGCCCCAGAGAGCGGGGTGCAGGGCAGGGGAGTTCGGCTGCACAGGGAGGGTGCAGGAGGTGCGCAGACACCTGGTCATGATGTTTGCATCAAGGGTCCAGATTTACAGAAAGGCAGAGAAAAAGAACCCAGGAGTCCTGGCTCCCAGGGCCCCTGCTCTAACCACTAGACCCCACTCCCCTCCCCGAGCCGAGCAGAGAACCCAGGCGTCCGGTTTCACAAGCCCCTTCTGAACAGTGCCTCTGACTCTGTGCCAGGCCCAAACAGCCCCGAGAACTGCAGGTGAAGAGCGCGGCCCACCGGCCGCTAAGACCTGCGCTCAACTCCCATTGACATCCCCAGGAGCTCGGCGCCTAAACCCACGGCAGCTCTGGGCCCCAAGCACCCTCCCGGGAGGCGAACGAACCCAGCGGGGACAAAACCACGCTCTGCCGGGCCCAGATCCCGCTCCGCGCGGACGGCGCGGCTGCGGAACTCCATGCCACAGGACGAGCAGGGCAAGAGGGCTGGACGCGGGCCGGGAGGGAAGACGCTCCCCTGATGTGGGGCACAGAGCCCAGGCGAGCGGGCAATAGGAGGGGTGTGCCCCACACAAAGGGCTCCGTCTCCCCTCCCCAGGGCATTGGGCCTGCTCCAACGGCCACAGTCGGACGGGAGCCCCAGAGCTGTGGAGCATTTTGGGAGCCCACCAGAGCTACGGCCCCCGCCCCACCTGAGCCGAGCCGGAGTCACTCCAGCCGGGGCAAGCACCCGCCCCGCCCGAGCCCAGCCGGAGCCACGCCAGCCGGGGCCACGCCAGCCGGGGCAAGCGCCCGCCCCGCCCAAGCCCAGCCGGAACCACGCCAGCCGGAGCCACGCCAGCCAGGGCAAGTGCCCGCCCCGCCCAAGCCCAGCCGGAGCCACGCCAGCCGGAGCCACGCCAGCCGGGGCGAGCACCCTCAAGTCCCTTCCAGCTCAGCGCTCGGCACCGTGCCCCTGCCCTCCCAGAGCAGCCGGACCCCACAAGCCGGGCGGGCAGGGCACCAACCATTGCGAAGCGCAGGCACTGTCTCCAGCGGCACTTCTGGCGCTTGAGGTTCTCGCCACCGAACTTGGGCTTGTCCCGGCAGAAGTCGCAGCGGCCGCAGTCGGCTTTCAGCAGACAGGCCTCGCACTCCCCGCACTTGCGGTTCCGCCGGCTCTTGGAGCAGAGCTGCCGGGCGGGGAGAGAGGCGCCGGGTCAGAGCGCGGGGGGGGGGGGGGGGGGGGGGG